CTAGAAACCTATTAAATGCTGCGGCATGAGTTCAAGAATCGCTAAATCTAATTCTAGAATGGTGCAACAAATGGCAAGTTATATTAAACCCAATAAAAACACAGGTAATCGCTTTTTTCAAAAACTATGAAAACACATGAAAACTCTTAAAAAATATATATTAAAGCTAGGAGAAACAGAAATATAAATGAACAGTAATGTTGCGTCAGCGAGGTCACGTGACTAGTATCACGCCACGTCCTTCTCGAACCTTCGTGAATTATCGGGAGACTACTAGATTGGGGGGTAGTCTGGTATATATAAGACGCTCACAACGTGACACAACAGTGCAATGAGTAATTGAATGTATGCGGATAAAATATTGTTGGCCACGTGAGACGTGAGCATTTGTTATAGAGCGACTGTGGAAATTAAGTGTATCGTAAAGTTGTATTCGGAAAGAATAAACCAGTTTTATTTAGAAAAGGACTTGTGTCGCTAAAGTTTCGTCGGAACGAATTTACGATTAACTAACGAACGGAGACGTAACAGTAATATTAGATTTCTTCGAATCACCTCTGACACATGTCTAACATGGAACATGCATATTCAAAACATACACGCCTCAATTAGTAAACGCGTTAATTATGTCAGACTCGTTGCGGGTAAACGCACAAGCTGCACACCAGAAACATCGCTAGAAATATACAAAACATTTATATGCCCTTTCATAGAATAGGGGTGTCAAACAACGTTTAAAATGTCCGCAAATAACATCAAAAAACTATAACTGCAACAAAGCAATCAGATTAGCCCTAAGGCTCCCAAAATTCACTCCTTTAAAATACCTACATAAAACAAGTAACTTTCCTAATTTAAGAAATAGACTTACTTAGCTCGCCTACAAATACCCCAATAAAGTGGAAACAAACGTACTACATTACATACAATTACAAGCCTTCCCCTCAAACATCGTCATACAACCTTTTATTGCAAACAAAAGAACACAGCGCAACCAAACACCACAACTGTTGAGTTTCAAATATCAATGTCTTGTGGTTTTAACAATCATGTTTCCTCCACAGCCAGGGCACAGGACAGATAAATTATTCGGCGTCTGTACTGTGAAAGTAGGTTTTCTCTGAGTATTTCAGTTTTCTCACAAATAAATTCTCCTCAGCATTGGACCCAAAACTCTGAAAAGGGCCTCCATCTCTCGATGGTTTATTTTCGAAAATCATAATATTAGTACAAAGTGGTTCTTGTAATCTTTAAACTTTAAAAGTATTGTTTGTTTGTTTGTTATGTACACGAGGGCTATTTGCGCTAACCGTCCCTAATTTAGCAGTGTAAGACTAGAGGGAAGACAGCTAGTCATCACCAACCACTGCCAACTCTTTGGCTACTCTTTTACCAACGAATAGTAGGATTGACTGTCACATTATAACGTCCCCACGGCTCAAAGGGCGAGCATGTTTGGTGGGACGGGGATTCGAACCCGCGACCCACAGATTGTGAGTCGAGCACCCTAACTACCTTGCCATACCGGGCCCTTTAAAAGTAATACTTGCTGGAACTGGTTACTTTGATTATAGTCTGTGTCTCACCATGTCACTACACTACGTCTTCAACTGGAATGAAACACACCAACCATGAAGTGGTGGGTTCTACTGACTCGTTATTTTCCCTCTATTTAATGGCTCAAAAGTTGGACGACCATGCCTGAATCACAGAGGTGCCTCTAACCTGGACATTTAGCTTATTGTGTACATAGGGTGTTATTTAGGTAAGCAAAGAAACTAAATAAAGTATTTAAATATCGCCAGGCTCTCTGCACTTTAACTTAATTTAATTTTAAGAACATTTTGTGTCAAGAAGCTTAGAATACCAATTGTAAATCTAAAGCTGGAGATCACTTACAACCGAAAAAGTATACTATATTGATTTTATGTATTCAATAAAATATATTATTCAAAACAAATCACAAATTTTAATTCATTTGAAAGTTAAATGATGTCTAACATTAGTGAATATAATAAGTTAGACTCAAAATGGTGCAAGCAAAAGTTTTACGTATTTTCTGTGTGTTAAGTATACCATCGCAAGATAACATCGAGAAAAGCACGAGATAGAGCGTTATCTTAATGGTCCAATCACATTGAAACGCAACGGTAACGAGGTGATTACAAATAACTTATAAATGCTATAATCCTAGCAGAGGTTTTGAATCTAATTCAATTAGGTTATGTGGCAAAATGTTAATATTGTTATGAATATTTATGATATATGCCATGTTTTGGTTGATGATGATTTTACAAGTAATTATAACTAATAGTATAAGAGAAAACTGTGTTTGTCGACTTATGATAGAAACAGTAACTAGGCATAAATAAACGTGAGTTTTACAAAGTACAGTTTTTTTTTTAACTATCTGAAGTATTTCAAAGTTCAAATAGTATCGTTTAATGTTAAAAGTTTTAGTTTTCAACTCTTAATCTTATTCGATCTCGGTTGGTTCATATACTCGTAGACTTACTCAGTTATTGTAAACGTAGAATTTGAAATCAGGATCATAACTTTAAAGTTAAGTTACACAATGATCTAAGTCTAACACTAACAGTAAGTCCAACTAAAACTACGAAAAATCAAATGCGTATAAAAAAGAAAATGTTTAGTAAGTAAGTTTAAACTTTAATGAAATCTAGTTACCAAACACTGAAACAATAAAACTAAAAGAAAATCAAGAATAAGAAAGAAAAAAGAAATTGGTCTAGAAGTAGGAACTTAAGTTTAGAACGTTAATTAGAATTTGAATTTTTAGGATCGTACAGTAGTAGTACTGGTACTGACATTTCTAAACTATACTGTACAGTGAACTGTAGACTAGTACTGCCAGTAGTACACTAGCTAGTCTAACTCAATAACTGGTAGTGATACTACAGATTAATGGTAGTTGCTGTGTGAAGCTTCCAAAATAATTATATATATATTATGTATCAAAAAGGTGGGATAATATCTCTGACAGTGACACAGATTTATTTCAAAATAATAGTTAATCGTTAATGAAGATGAAGTTTTACGAGTGATGATATGAAATGTACTCTGTACTGAAAGTGAAACCAAACTCATTGTATATACCTTCTTTTTTTTTTTTCCTTGTATTTTCTTAGGTTTATTGCTCTTGAAACTTTTGCTAGCTACAACAAATCATCAAAATGAATGGTAAGTTATTTTAAATATTATGTACAGTACACATACATGACGTCTGATTTAATAAAAATATAAGAAAATTAGAAATGGTCTTATAAATACTTAGTGTAACATAACATTACAACATGGGACAAAATGGTTTTTAATCTGTCATATTCAGTTACTTAAAAGTTTTACCTGCACATCAACCAAAGAAAACAAATTTAAACCCACCCTTTATTTTTCAGGAAAGTATCAATTCCATGTATAGTACATAATATTTTTCAGCAAGAAATATTTTCCCACTATTTTGAAGATTTCATGTTTTATATTTGAATTCCAATTTTTTCTATATAAAAGCAACTTGTAATGTGCAGTCTTGCTGTATACTACATTCAAAGTATTGTAATACTTTTATTTCATTAGATTGTGCTACAGGAGTACTGGTTGAATTCAACATGTCAGATGCCTCATCTCCAAACTTATCTCAACTAAGCCTTTCTAAGGATTCTGGAACGAGTAAAATAAAAGCATACATAGTAGAACATTGTGCAAACATGTTACATACATATACTTCGGAGACTGACGATGATGACCTGTTTTTTTGTCATCAAGTGAAAAAGTTGTCTGTAGAACCCACTGGTGGAACATTGCCTAGATCACCGTTATGTGGTAAACTCATTGACATTGCTGATGAACCTAACAGCAGTCCAGAATGTCCTAGTTATGAAAAACAAAAGGATACTTTACATACCGCATGTGAAGAACAAGAAAGGAACACTCAGCATTTTACTTCTTATAAACCAGACAAGATTGAATTACAGATTCCTTCTGTATCCTGCAATCAGTCTGTATGTAGTAAGGTTTGTTTTAAACCAGAAAACAAACAAAGGAATTCTGTTATGGAGACTCACTCAAGTACAGTTAAAAATAGTTCTTGGAGACTTGTTGGAAAAGGTAAGGTTGTCATTATTCCACAAGAAAGAATAATCCTTCATTGTTCCACTGTAATGTAAAAAACTATATATTATTGATACACCCTGTTATTTGAGGAATAATCAGCCAAAAACACTTAACTGACAAAAATAAATGTTAGAATCGTATTCATTTTAATTAAAAAGATCATGATTAATAATGTGATATTAAAGCGTGGCCACAAACCTTGAAAAGTCGAATAATATGAAAGGAGTAAAAAGAGCAGGGAAATTGTTCCCACCCCCTTTAACTGCCAGAACAAAGGAATCTTGATTATTATTGACTGCTCTGTTATTTCACGTGGTAATAATTTCATTGTATTTGATGATAGGTTAGAACAAATATTATTTTATAAATAAAAATTCAATATTTTATTGTTTGCCATCAGGTTACAAAATATTTTCTATAGTACTAATCCCACCTTTCCATTAATCAGTCAGAGACCATTTAAAAAACTAGTTGATCAGCAGTGGCACAACATGCCAGTCAGTCTGACTGGCTACAAAATCTCTGTGATGATAAGTTATCTTAATACATCTATATTAAGCAGGTCTTAGTTTCAAAAAAAGAAGTATCTAAAAAATTTTGATCATTTTTCTGTGTCATGTGATGCATATGAACTCTGATTTCTCAACTTCTCACATCGAAAATACGTTCCTGCAGTTTCTAAACAGTTAAAAACAAACTATAATTGCAAGTAAGAATCCAAAATTTCAACAATCTACTTTCTTGATCTTTTTAAGATATCGATAAATCTGTCAAATCTATAAGAGAAGACCTTCCACTCTCTGACTTTTGAAATTGTTTGCTAATTAATTAACTTCACGTGGCTGATGGGCATGTTTATAACCATTGAAAGAGCAAATATTCCTTCACATAAATCTTTTCAAGTTGTTGTTTAGTTGATGAGCCTTAAACCATTAGTCACTTCAATTCCTTGGTATGTGGTGATCCTATTTTGGTGCTCTGACAGTATTTCTAGCTTACTTAGAAACCTGGATAAATTATAGTAATTTTGGGACATTTTGTATTAGTGACTGATATATTATTACATTCTAAAATGCATATTTGAAAGGTACATGAACTTTGTTTTGTTTGGGAGGGGTACCAAATTTGTGATATTCAGTGTGAAAAATAGAAACAATTTTTACTTGGGTGCAAAAGAACTTTAGTATTCAGTAAGTACCACAAATGTTTGTTTTTATGTATATACTTTATTTATTGTTACATATTTTTAACAAAAGTAACCAAAGTGTAAAAAATCAGAATATCCAAGCTTAGCCTGTCAAAACTTTAGTAAAATAAAATGTCTAAACTTTCACAGACTCATGCTCTATAGGAAACAATTAATGCATTCTTGTTGTGGCTCATTGTGTTTGATGTGAAGATTACTGTTCCAGTGGGTTCAAAGTACAGCAGTAAAACCATAAAATTAAAAATAAAAAGATAAGAAATACTTTTGATGTTCATTTAGGAAGCTATAGAGGTTATGGATATAAAATATGAAAACTGCAGGATTAAATATTTTTATTCTTATCATGAAAATCATCTATCATTCAGACTAATTCAGTAAATGCTTCAGAAATTCACAGACAAATCTGTAGTAAAAATACTTTAGAAACTATATTTTACATCTTGCTGGTCAAAAGGATGATATAATGATCAAGAGACTTTGCAAAATATCTTGAAATAAGGATATATTATAAATACGAGATTTAGTGAAGTATTCATATCAATGTTAATGTGTATGTTCGGTTACACAGTTGATCAGCCATGAAATTGTACAAATAAGTTTATTTGTACTTTAGTCATAGTACCACTTGAAAGTAAATGTTTGATGAAATTGAAAATATTTGTGAACTAGGACCAATAACTGTGTACAAGTGATACTATCCTGTTACTAATTTGTTATCGTCACATGGACTAGACTTTGCATTATTTGTACCAAATAATATAAAAGAACACTATTTTGGGGGAAAACAAAATATAACTTGTCTCATTTTCAACCAGACAACCAGATCCAGAAGTGAGATTTAGGCATTGCTAGAGATGTTGAAACTATTAAAAGAAGAACAAAAAGAAAGAGACAGAAAACTTAAAAAACATGACAGATAATTGAAAGAAAACCAAGAGCTAAGAGATGGGAATTTAGGAAATGAGTTAAAAGAAAGAGATATACTATTTAAAGCATATTTAAAATCAAAAGTAAATCTGAGTGAAAACAAGGTCAATGAAGCTATTTTATGTATAAAGAGAGATTACAACAACAAAATTAAAACAGTACAAAATTCTGTAATGACAAAATTGAAGAAGTACCAAAATACATCAGTGAAGTAGAAAAAGAGCATCATTGACAGAAAAACTAATTACTAAATGCAAAGATTAGCCAGTGACACCTTTCTGTATTTGCTGAAAAGTTGTAATTTAAAATGTATTCTACTACAAAATATGGAATAGGAAAATTTATTTGGTGTTCACCTATTATTGCTTCTGCTGTCATCTTTCTGGACTATTCCAGGCATGTCCAAATGCAGATACAGAATTTATCTGGCCAATTAAACAACATGATCTAATTGAGAAACCAACAGAATATGATGGAAAGGTACTGTGGGAGGCATATTAGGCTTAGTTTGAAATAATTTTGAAAGTGAAAGGTAGAATAGTGACCAACAATTTATTCATCCAAAACGTACCAGATTTAACAATATTAAATAACCTTTCAGCTGAAAGCTACTAGCAAGCATTAGTAGCTACCTTATCAAACAGTTGTTTGTTGGATGAAGTGTTCACTTTTCGCTCATCTTAGGCACAATTAGTTGATTATAGCTTGAGATGCAGTGACATAGCTAGTTGATTATTTAGTTTAGATTCTAGGTTACGAATTAGGAATGCTTCCTTTTTTTCTTTTGCTGAGTCTATTATTTTGAAGTATTCACTGTTTGGTTTTTCCTTACAGTCTTTGGTTAGGTAGTTGTTAATTCCAAAGTTATTGAAAGAGATGTTATATGCATGCTCCTTGATTCTGGTAGCTAAGGTTCAAGTCCTTGACCCAATATAGACTTGCCTGCAGCAAGGACACAAATACTTGTATACTATCAGTGATATTTTTGAAGGAGGTATTATTTAACATCAAAAGACATCATCTCTGAGTTACAGTACCATCAGATCGAGCAGTACTGAAACATCACATCCTTCTATGAATAGTGTAGAAGAACTGAAATTATTTATTATACAACTAGTTAAGCATAATGGAGGATATAAACCACAAAACGGTAGGTGCTTCAAGTGTAACTTGAAAGGATATACTGCAGGTAAAGACTTGTATGGAACAAAAACTCCATCAAAATAAACCAGACGGAGGTAATTTTTTTATAAATGGGAAATATGGCCATTTCAGCTGAGACTGTAAGGAATCAACAGCTGTTTTTAAGCTAAAGAGCTCAAAAACATCAATGGAACAATGTAGAGATCAACAGTTATCAAGAAAAGATGAATTAATTGTATTTATAAGGCAAAATTTCATCTGCCCCAAATCAGATGAGATATTCAGTGTTTAAGAAAAACTATCCACAAGTTCATGGGATTATTGATGGAAAACCTTGTAGTAAGTTGATTGGTACTTGTTCTATAGCTACAACAGTTTGACTCGATTTGCTAATGAAGTGTTAGAAATTGCTTTTAAAGATGAAAGAAGAGGGAGTGAGACAAACAGCAAGAGGACGTAGAGTTCTAGCAAAAGGAAAGTTAGAAGTCACCCTTAACTTGGGAAGGTTCTTTATTCTTCACGATGTGTGGATAAATGACATATAGCAATAGTGCATTGTGAAAACTATGGAGACATCAATGTGAGATTAGGCTATCTTCAAATAGTTTTACTGTCTCTGACCAGGAAATCCCTTTGCTTTAAATGGCAATTACTACACCAGAGATTGAACTTCCAGTGACAACAGGGATGGTGATCATTGTACTACCAAGATGCGAAATACTCGTAACAAGAGTTATTAATAATAAATCTACATCTAGTGACTGGGGCCTAGTGGAACCAAATACACCAGCATGTCTTGAGTGATTGATAGGTGGAAGAGCTCTTATGAATCTGAAGAATAAAGATGTCGTACATAACTTTACCTGTGAGAAACTTAAATCAGTTTTGATAAAATGAAAAGTCACTATGAAGTTAATGCTGATAAGACTAGATTCCATTGAAATGACATGGAATAGCTGTAAAATCCCAACCACAAAAAAAAGGAGAGAAACTCCAAAGTGATAGTCACCTGTAGCAGACATTAAGAAAAAGAAATAAACTAATGTGTTATTGGTACATGGACTGGATTTTACATTATTCTCACCAAATAAATTAAAAGAATCCACCCGATGAAAGAATACATTACATCAATATTTTACTACAAAAAAATTAATATTTTGTGTACAACAGACCTATAATGTTTACTAAAATCTTGTCAAATTTTGTGAAAATGCACTTAGTAAAGTCAGAATTTGACTGAATCCATGAATAGGTGTGTAGAAATAGTACTACTATGTCAGAGTATTTTTTTTCTCTATAAGGATGTGAATGTTAAGGATGAACAGGTGCTAGACAATGACTGTTGTATTTTGTGTGGTGCTGATGTTGACAGTTTGAAGAGGAAGAAACAATGATTTGAAAAAGAGGCCTTTAAAAAATCATGCTCTTTCTTTTATATGAGAATCTATGTATGAATGGATTCATCCAGTTAGGACTTTTGCATATTAAATATATCTATGTGGTTGTTCTTGACTAAATACCATCATGCATCACGAGGGGGTGATGCTCTTTGAAAATGAACAGAGGATGCCTTTTGGTGATGTATAAAGGAAACAAGACTTATTCTCCATATGTCATCTTATAGCTCCAACAAGGATGTAGAACACCTTAAATCCTTGTTAGACTTATTTGTTATTCCCATTGCACCATCTCAGAACCTGCTTATTGGATTTTCAATCCACATCCTACTACAAGGATACATTTGTGTTGGTATCTGCTCAAACCTAAGGTGATCCACAACAAAAACACTTTCAATTTTCTTTGAGTTGAAATTTGCAGTATTGTGGTAATCTCATCATATATTGATGGATAATGACTTGAATATAGGAGTATAATAAAACTGGCATTTTTTTGTTACACTGTTTGTATAAAGATTGGTTTAATGCTACTTATTTGTATACTGACGAACAATGTAATTTTCTAATTTCTTGATTTGTCAACATACTTCCTCTAGAATACATATTTTTATGTTGTTCATATTGTATGCTAACTCTAATAAAAGTTGTAATGAAATTGGTTTTGGAATTTTAATCTAGAGCTTATTATAATGGTAATTTTGTGCTGGGATCCGGTTGGACCCCAGGTGTTCCATAACATAACTTTTCAAAGGTGTGCTAATGAGGGATATATATATATTTGTTATTTTCACAGAGGAAGAACTTATAGAAAATGAAGCATTTGACTTTAATATATCCATCACACCTCCAGGACCCCTCAGGTACGATTTATTTTTTTTCTACATTGTCTTAAAAATTCATCTGATTGAAAGAAACTGTTTATTTTAGTGTAAGGTATATCTATCTCCATAGTTTTAACCTGATTGTAATGTGTTTGGAGTTTTTTTTTCCTGTCACACTGCTATACTGACAGCCTTCAATTATGGGATATGTGGCTGGCTAATATAGAGCATCTCGATATGCTGCAGTCTCTGTTAGAGAGAGAGGCAAGCATATGCCCTCATAAAAACTTATGAGAATTGGTTGTCAAGGATTTAGCTTATAATATATGAAAATATTTTTGTCCTTGATACTAAAGCTTTCCACATAGTCCTTTTCAAAGCTGGTTGTCTCATCTTGAGAGATCTAGTGGCAAATGCTTCATTGTTCTTAACATTGAAACTAACGCAATGATGCCTTACTGGTCTGTAGAATAAATGCTACTCTTCTGTGTTATGTACAAGAGTGTCTATTGTAAACCATAAATATAATGTAACCCATAATAAAATGAGGGTGGCAGGTCCACACATACGCTTTAGGTATGATGGCTGCTGAGAAAACTAAGTTGGTTGGTAGTCAGCTTGTTTACGTTAAACTGTCACCTGTAATGAACATAAAAAGATAGCCATTATAATTCAGTGAGGTTGGTCAACATTTTCTTTAGACTTTCACACAAGAAGAAACTGAATTACCAATGGATCATTGAATGCAATGTGATAACTGTGCAGAAACAGAAACTACTTTAGTTTCGGTGGACACACTTTTCATATCACTGAGCTCCTTGCATTAAGAAAATCTGAGAAAATTTAAAGATATATTAAGTTATTAAATTTCCAAACTTCAAAAGTTTAGCTAAGTAAAATGTGAAATTATTTGCAAGCAGATTTCAGAAGGTTTTGAATTGATGGAGGTGAGAAAAGGCCACCAGTTATATTTGATATAGAATAAAACTAGTAAATTAAGAAACTGTTGTTAATACTTAATTATTCCATCCTCCTGTTAAGCTGAAATCTTAAATGTTTTAAAAGCTGGCTAAACCATAGGGGACTGGCTACCAATGTCGTAGTTTGACAAGTAGGTGGAGTGTTGCCATAATGTGTGTGTTAGTAACAGAAGAGACTGATTATGTTCTCTCTGTAGTTTGTAATTTTGGAACTTACTGTTTGAACTGGTTAGAGGTATGAAAGGAAACATATTTTAAAATGTGCTGTCAGTTAAAGCTATTCATGGATGTGTGTTTTGTACCAATGACTGATGATCACTTGAATACCTTGTCTGGTGCTAAGTGATTAAGTTCACTTAACTTAGTCTCTCTCTCTACTGGAAAATAAGTGGAATGAAGCTAATGGATCAAAATCTATATGTACCTTCAACAGTAGCCAAGATTTATACAAGTACTAGGTACTGCCATTCAGATTGTGGCCTTGACCAGAACAAATTATGGAGGGAACTGTAATTAACTTCTAGTAGCATGGTTTTTGGTTAAATCTTTGATGTAACTCTGGAAAATTAAAACTGCTTATAAAATTAAGAGTAGTGAATCCCAATGCTACATTGTGTGTGTTTATATGAGACCAGGACTTTGAAGTGTCTTTTAGTTAATGCATTAGTCTTATATGCTTGAGCATGATAGTTATTACATTATGTCTAATATTTTTGTATAGAATGGGTCAAGGTGATGTTTTTCAAGAGTTGAATATTGAAAAAAATCAAATGAGAAATTATAGCAAAGACGAAGGACCTACTGTGATGTCTGGCTTTGCTAAGGTAAGTTTTAACATGTATCTAATTAAAGTTTCACAAAGCTTAACTGGATAAAACATGATTTTGGGCACTTCACCAATAATCATTTATATGCAGCCAAAAATTATCTTTTAGACTGTAAGATGCCAGATGAACTTGTTTTGGATATAGAGTTTATTAAACTTTTTGAATGGTTTTTCCAAAACATTTTTTCTCTCACCAGTCAATCAGTTTTTTCTTGTTATCTCTTAGTGGTTGCATAAAATTTGTTCTTTTTAGTTCCATTTAATCATATCTTGCCTTAAGTAACTTAGAAGACCAATATATGGTACTGCTCTGCATTATGTTCAGTTAATGCATACATCACATAATGTTTTCTTTTCCATTTGTTTAGCATCTCCTGTAATCAAGGTGATAATTTGAGGACTCCTGTTTTTATAGCCTAGGTCTTTTGTTTCTGTGATGTGTTTTGTATGAAGGTTGTGCTTTACAGAATGTACAAAAAGGTTTTGGAGTGATCTGTGTCTTAGCCCCTTTTGGGCGGATTTCTGTATATGGTGAGGGGACTCTCAGGGAAGATTCTGTATTTTCAGTTTACCTCCTCTGGGATCTATGTGTTTGCAGTGCATGGCAACCCATGAAAGGGAGGATGGGTCAGTTTATGTCAGTGGCACTTTAACACACCACTTTGGCCTTGAATTCCTTTAGACAGGTAGCCTTGGGGTGGCTCACCCAGGGTCAGTCAGTTGTTCCTGTTGGCCTAGGGTCAACCAAGTACCAGTGTTGGGCATTCTCAACGGTTATTGTGGATATTGTTTCTGATACTGGTGTTTGGGTATAGTGCCCACAAAACCGTGGCATCTCTACAATGCTTGGCTTTGGCATTGTATTGCATCCCCTTGTAGGACTCCATGGTGGGTGGGATCAGTGGGCACTGAAGTCCTTTTCATGGATCCTACACCCAGTGACCCCCAAAAAAACAAGAAAAACGCGTTGATTGGAAAGCGACCATGTTTGGAAGACTCTGAATAGCAGTCTCCACACCATTCTGCACCTGCACCTCGTTTTTTCACCATACATTCTTTATCAGACACATCTTTAGGGCAAATATCTCCCTTTTTTTTATTCAGAAGCAATTAGAGGGACTTGTTGGATCTCCAAAGTCAATTAAGAAACTACATTCTGTAAACATCTACATCAAAACAGAATGAACTCCTCCTTTGAATTCCTCCCAAGGAGTTATCATTGTGAGAAATTTGAGAAATATCCCTGAGTCAGAGTTACTTGCTGGTTTCTCCAGCCAAGGAGTTTCTACAATGCAATGGATCTCCACTTGTAAAGAAAGAATTATGCTGCCTACCAATATTCTTTTATTAATGTTTATATCACCACGACTACCTGCCACTGTCAAAGCAGGTTATCTGAACTGTAAGGTATGGCCTTGTATTCCTAACCCTCTCAGGTACTTCCAGTGTCATCGGTTCGGACATTTTAAGGCATCTTGTTGTGTTTTTTCGATATATGCTTGTTGTGGAGGCAAAGACCATGTTGCCTACAAATGTCAACTGGACTCTCACTGCGTCAATTGGGGTGGTTACCACCCCTCTTACATTTGATCTTGCCCTATGTGGGTGGAGGAAAAGGAGGTATAGCTTTTTATTCAGAGGCTCGGAAGTTGTTGTCCCCTGCTCCATCTCATATATATTCTGTTGCTCTCTGTTCCATTGCTACAGTGGGAGTACAGACAGAGCTTTGCGTGCCTCTATCAGAGTCTTTCTCACACCATGTGAAGAGTCTTTTGCCTCCATGGTTGCACGTGTTGACAGTCAATGTCTACTTCTGTCTCTATTCTCACCATTAATTCCAGTGACTGCTTGGATCCATCTGCTTCGGCTTTGAGGTGTAAGACCATTATTCAGTCACTGGAGTCTCCTTCCTCCGACAGATCTGCCCAATCGACCCAGGGCATGGAGGTCAACAGACCTCTTTCTAATAAAGAAAAATATGGTGGTTGCAACGAGAAGGGTTTTCTGCCAAATTCTCCTTCACCTAACTAAAAATGGCCACTTTGATACAGTGGAACTGTCAAGGTTTTTGTTTTAATTTGGATGACATTAAGGCCTTGATCAATTTCTATTATCCCGTGTGTGTCTCTCCTTACAGGAAACATTCCTGAGACTTGCTGATACTGTCACCTTTTGGAACTTTTCTGTATACTGGAATGACAGGTTGGGTGATGGACGAGTTTATGTAAGGGTGACACTGCTGATTGACCAGTGTGTACCCACCTTGTCTTCACCACTCGAAATGCCCTTAGAGGCTGTAGCCATCTGTATCTCTGTGGGTCGTAACATCACTGTTTGTTCTCTCTACCTGTCTCCTGGAGAGACTTATGATCAATCAGACCTTGGTGCTCTCATAGAACAGTTTCTGTCTCCTTTTTTCATCTTGGGAGACTAATGAACACAATACACTTTGGGGTGGTGCTGATATTGATGGGAGGGGTTGTTCTCAGATCACAACCTTTTTGTCTTCAATGCTGTTTCTTTTACCTATTTTCATACACCTAGTCAATCTTTTACTGCTATTGATCTATCAATCTTTTTTCCTTCACTTTTTTCTCATTTTTCTTGGAGGGTTGACAGTGACCTACGGGGAAGTGATAATTTTCCCATTATTTTGATGGAGGTTGGCCATGGTTGATGGCACCCATCCAGAGTGCTACAGTGGAAGTTGGAGCAGGCTGACTGGCTCTCCTTCACCATTCTCTCAGAACTAGATCCTGCTGTTGTTAGTCTTCCATATATTAACAACTGTGTGGAGGCAGTAACTGATTGTATAATTCAAGAAGCTGTTCATTCTATCCCTAAAACCTCAACACATTTCCCATGGTATTCTTGTTCATGTTGGTCTACCACCTGCCAGTAAGGACGGAAGGCCCAGAAATGAGCCTGGGATACCTTTTATAGGTATCCCACTCGTTCCAACCTTATTGCATTCCAGCGGGCCCATGCTCGGCAGGTCAGACATCAAAGCCAGAAGGAATCTTGGATTAAGTTTGCCACCAGCATCACTTCTACCACCAATTCCAAAGGCCTCTGGGACAAGATTCGGAGGGTCAATGGGAAGTATGCTTCTCATCTCCTTTTCATCTTGCTCCTCTCCAATGGTCAAGAAATTGCTGAGTTACAGAGCATCACCAATACTCTCAGGGAGATCTTTTCTTATCTCTCCTGCACTTCTGTATCTTCCCCTGCCTTCTTGGCCATCAAGTTTTGTGCAGAGAGATCCCCTCTTTCCTTTCGGGCTGATCATCTCTATGACTATAATTGCCCTTTTACACTGATGGAACTTAAAATTGCTCTTCATCAGTCTAGCAATACATCAATCATGCCTGATGACGTTCACTATTGGATGCTGGACCATCTCCCTCTCTTGCTCTTCTTCTGGTTGGTTTTAACTGGATCTGGCAGGGGAACATTTTTTCTGATGCTTGGTGCAAGGCTATTTTATTACCTTTTTCTAAACCCGTGAAGGATCTATAGATCCCTTCTAATTATCTTTCTATTGCTTTGACTAGTTGTCTCAGTCAGGTTTTGGAGAGAATGGTTAATGCTTGTCTTGTTTGGTTCCTTGAATCAAACAACCTCCTCTCACCCACCTAATATGGATTCTGTGAACAGTACTCCACCTTAGACCACTTGATTTGACTTGAAACCTCGATCAGAGAAGGTTTACGAAACTATGTGGAGGTATGGCATTTTGCAAGACCTCCACTCCTATGGGTCGTATGGCCATTTACCCATTTTTATTTTTAAGTTTTTACTTGACAGGCCATTCCAAGTCTATGTTGGTTCAACCCTTTTTCGTTCTTTAGCACAGGAACTTGGACTCTCTCGGGCTGTGTCTTATGTGTCATGCTATTTAGTGTTAAAATCAATGCTATCACTTGACAACTTCCTCCTACTGTTGCAAGCGACCTGTACATCGACGACTTCCATATTTCTTGTCAGTCTAAGTTCATTTGCATTCTGATCCTGAGCTCTATCTCGGTAGTGATGTTCTTTCTGGGTGGCTGAGACAAAGTCTTTGGGACTTATGTTTGACCTCAAGTTGACTTTTATTCCTCATATTAAGCAGGCTTGTGTCAAGGGTGCACAGACACTGAACATCCTCCGTGTCCTCTCTTCCACCTCTTGGGTGGAGTGGATTAATGTTCTTTGGGGAAGATCTATCATGCCCTCATTCGATCCAAACTGCACTATGGGTCTCTGGTTTTGTCAGGGCCTCTGCCTTGAAGATGTTGGACCCCATTCACCATCTGGGGCTTCGGCTCTGCACAGGGGCTTTCTGCACTTTTCAATTAGAGTGTCTGTACACTGAGTCCCATAAACCTTTTATTCACCCCCACCATTTGCAACTTTCTTTGCAATATGCTACCAAGCTTTGATCCTTACCAGAGCATCCCACCTGGGGTTGTGTTTTCATTTGTCTGGGGGCTGTGCTCTTTCAGAATAGACAATCTGCCATTCATCCTGTTGGCCTTTGTATTCAGGCACAGCTGGCTGAATTGGGTCTGCCATTGGATGATGATGCTGAATCTGATGATCAGCCCATCCTGCCATAGGTCATTACCATCCCCTCCTGTGACCTGCCTTTGAGTCATCTGAGGAAGGCAGATACTCCCGATTGGAAGTACTGTCTTTTCTTTCAGAATAACTTTCAAAACATTTATCTGCTCCTGTTTTTATGGATGGTTAAAAATCAGGTGACTCTGTGGGCTCTGCCATGGTTTGTTGTGGCTTGGTGGATGCTCATAGGATCCCCTCTACAGTTTCTGTGTTCACTGGCAATTTGTATGCCTTATCTCTTGTTTGGATCACATAGAAGCTAAGCAGTACACTGAGTCTCTTAGTTGTCTACTGGCCGTGGAATCGCTTAACGTTAGTTCTCACCCTGTTCTCATTGATATTCAAAAGCGACTGACCTATTTTTCTCTGTATTCTATTTCTGTCTAGATTTTC